TTCTTGAAGGACTTAAAGTGTTGTTGTTGCACTTGATTCACTTCCCCAGAATTATTTAAGACCCAAATTTACATTGCCACCTAACTTACCTTGCTGCTTTCAACATTTTTACACTACATGCAATCAGCTTATTTTCTTGTGATGTTGGGGTTGATTGCTATGGTACTGTGTTTCCCTCAGGGCCAGCAGCCATGGAATCTAAGCCCCAGGAATCTTTTCCCTTTATAATGTTCAACTAAAAAAACTAGGTTGTATTGTGAGGACAAGTAGTCTACAGAGAAAGCCTTAAGGAGATGGACATGCACCTACATGTCATTACATATTAGCAGAGGAATTTCACAACAATTAGAGACGAAATGTGCATTAACAGTAGCTGACTGATATTTAGAACACCAACAGACAGGGTCTTTCCATTATGACGCTCTAATAATGCACTAATCATTCCATGCAATAAAATCCATTAATGCACACTGTACAAACAGCAGTCTATGGTTTCTATGTAAGCTGTTTTCTGCCGGCACATTCCTCAGACACCTTAAATGAGGGGCTCCTCTGGACCAGATCTATCAGTTGAGGAAATGATGCTTAAAAAGAATTCTTTACATTCTCTTTACATGCCTGTTGTCTTTCACCAATTGTTTCCATGAGCATACAATATTCTAGCTAAATATGATGAATGAAGAGAGTAGCATTGGTCATCAAGGAATTCTGCAGCACAGAGTATTGAAGAGCTCAGGTTTAACAGCTTGACACATGCACACAGTTTTTACCTAAAATATGTATTTGAAACATGGTATGAATTTGTTCATAAAAATAGCCCTTAAAGTCTATAGGAAAGCATATCAAGCCTGTTTGATTGATTAGGTTGTGAATGCCATTGCATGTTGACTTTAAATGAAATGTCTTAGCCACTAGCAGCATTAAACAGAATTGCTGTTTCTCAACCAACCAGAAGTTGACATGTTGGACCACTGAAACAACCAACCATTTTACTTCTGTAATATGACATGCTTCAAAGTGAAACGGGATATTCGATGAAAAAAAAACACGTTGGGCGAAACTTGATTTTATCCATCTGGAATTGATTGGATCATGAAAAGTGGTCTCTAAATGACAGGAGGCTGGAGTTGGAGTTGAAAAATAAGAGAGCTTGATGACATCAGCCATAAAAGAAAGTCATTTTAGAGCCAAAGCAAGATGTTACATTTTGATTAAATATTACAGAGACAAACTTTTTTCTTTGGAATGGCTTTGCACCAATGAATCTATACTTTCTATGATGAGAGAGTAAATATGTGTGGTTAAAGGCTCTTGTGTATGTCAGAGTGTAGTGAAGGTTGTACCCTCAGATGGTTCAAAGAAAACTAACACTAGAAGGTGACTCCGCAGTTGTCTGAGGTGCGAGACCTGAGACTGTCCCGCTCCACAGATGCAGTGTCAGCCTCCACATCCCAAACCACTAATGATGCCTAAAAATCCTGAAAATACCACAAGGGCCCTGAAACGGTTGGCAGGGGAATCTGACTGTAATGCGTTAATGTTAACTGGATGGAATCTACATCTTAAACACAAAGACATATTCACTACACAAGGAATATATTTTATGAGAAGAGCCCCACAACTCAGTTCCCAGCCTAGTTGTCCTCACCTTTACTTACTGCATGGTATTCACAAGAGTTAGACTGGTGGCAGGAAGCTAACACTGATTTATTTTGTTATAGGGTCTTTGCGTATGCAAAGACAGAAAGAAGCCATTATGTTGAGCTTCACACGAGTCTACATGCTGTGTGTAAACAGATTTGTACAGTACATCATCATAAAATAAGAAATAGTTATGTTGAAAAGCTGTTTTATTTGCAATAATTAAATCAAAGCTAAAAAAACTTGGAACACCTTGAATACAATATTCGTTGCTTTGCATTACAGGAAATTTTGAAATAGAAATTCTGAAATAGTACTTTCTTGTACAACTTAGTGCAACATAGTTTTGTTTTCGTTATAACTTTGCAAAAATAATTTTTAATAGTGTAAGAGCTGATGTGCAAATGCTATTTTTTTTAAAATCAAAAAGTAATTTTTCTAAAAGTTGTAGCATATCAGTAGACGCATAGAATTATAGACAACAAATTCTGAATTTTATTAGATTTTTTTCTTACTAAAAACACATTTCATTAAAGGGTAAATGAAATACATTTTTTCTTATGTTTTCTTATATGTGACATTAGCACAGAAAAATATAAATCATTTTAAGTGGTTGCTCAAAATGAGATTTAATCTTTTCACTGGTTAATCACTCCTGTGCATATGCTCAAATCTGCAGTTACTCTGATCATTTACAGATGTATGTTCAGGCACATCTGATCTGGAAAAACACAAGTATAAATCCCTGGACGTGGATGCACTGTGTGTGAAGGAGTGAATTTGTCTTACACACCTACCTAACCATATTCACTAACCATGACATGGCTTTACACATCAGTGCAAATGGCCTGTCACAATCATCTTTTTCAGCTGTCTTTTTTGTTGTTGTTGTAAATCTCTATGCGTGCTCAAAATGAGATTTAATCTTTTCACTGGTTAATCACTCCTGTGCATATGCTCAAATCTGCAGTTACTCTGATCATTTACAGATGTATGTTCAGGCACATCTGATCTGAAAAAACACAAGTATAAATCCCTGGACGTGGATGCACTGTGTGTGAAGGAGTGAATTTGTCTTACACACCTGCCTAACCATATTCACTAACCATGACATGGCTTTACACATCAGTGCAAATGGCCTGTCACAATCATCTTTTTCAGCTGTCTTTTTTGTTGTTGTTGTAAATCTCTATGCATACCTAACAGAAACATAAACATGCATGTCTCTATGAGCTAATTCTTTCCATTAAATTCCACTCATTGAAACTGGTGTGAACATATATTGCAAACAAATGTGTGAAAAGGGAAGTTTTGCTACTGTCCCCCTAACATTTAATTTTTTTTATACCGTGCACTAACTCAATTTCCTCTGTACAAAAACCATCCATTTGTACAGCTGTTTTCCATTACTTTAATTATTTTTAAACTCTTACGAACAGTGCAATGTGGTATAGTGATGGTTCTCCTTTTTTTTTTAATCTAACAGTTTTGATTAATTGCACTGTGCATAGTTATGAAGCAAGTCTATTACAGTACACATCACATGGTAATAACAGTAAGATATGGCACAGATTTGGTTGTATATCCTTGAATGTGTGCTCGTTAAAACAACAACCGTTGTATAAGCAGGTTTGGACTCTGAAATGACTTAGCGAAACAGACTTGTTTAGAACATGCTTGATGATGCATTTAGTGCGAATCTCTGGTTAAATTGCTTTCATTCAAAAGGTTGTGAGAGATGATATTTCCAAGCAGCACAACACGGTCTGCTGTCCAGGCCTGTGCTTGAATGTCAGGTAGGTGGTTGGTTAGGATAAATGGCTCCTCCAGTGCATTTGATGGGATTCTGGAATTCATTATAACAGGTGTTTGGAGGGGAGGGGTTAATGAGGGGGATTTATGTCGTCAGATGAAAAAGAGACCTAGGCTTAAAGGAATTATGGAATCTTGCCATTTAATCTTTTAAAATCCAGTTCTTTAATTTGTGAAGTCGAACTCCCCATCATCTGGTGTCAACAAAGCAGACGTCATTGCCTCGTGGTTGCTCAGGTAGATCCTCAGTAATACCATTTCACCCTGTACCTGTGTCATGATCCAGCAGATCAGGCAGCTTGGCAAACAGAAACTTGGCAAAAGGTTCCAGTAGCCCACCTGTTGCTACTGTAATCCTTGTGATGAATTGTTGCCACATTCAAGGGCTGTCATTTCAAGCATGTCAATGGCTCCTTCCAGGTGTGCCCAAGAGTGAGCTGGAACCAGCCCAACAGATCCCTATCTCACTAACAATTCGCTTCCAAGACAAAGATCTGTAAGTTGTAATGATACCAATATTTGTGTTTCATCTGCGCTATTTATGTTTTGTTAATGACACACCATTCTTTTGCATGTCAATAACTGGTATCTCCTTGAAGGCAGAGCAGATGAGCTCTATAGTGTGTTGTACAGTATGTTGTCTTCACTGCTCATCAATAAAAAGCATTCAAAGAAGAATAGACAACCTTTTCTCCTCTGCTCTTGCCAAAACAAATCTCTCATCTTGATTTTTAACTTCCTTGCTTATTAAAAGATTCATCTTGATCTTGCGAAACGAGTAAAGATAGAGCAAAAATAATTGATTTGTAATTGCTCACTGCCACTGAACTTGTGCCAGTATGTCCTCTTAGAAATGTATAAAAGAAATCATGGCACTGCTGGGCAAGTGTTAAAAGGAGTGTTCACCCAAATGAAAATTCTGTCGTCATTTACTCACCCCCATGTTGTTCCAAACCTACATGAGTTTCTTTCTTCTGTTGAACATAAAAGAAGATGTTTTGAAAAATGTTGCTGGTCCCTACAGACTTCCATAGCATTAGGGGAAATACTGTGGAAGTCACTGGGGACCAGCAACATTTTTCAAAATATCTTATTTTGTGTTTAACAGACGAAAGAAACTCATGCAGGATTGGAACAACTTGAGGAAAATTATGACAGAATTTAAAATTTTTGGGTGAGCTACCTCTTTTAACATAATGGAACATGAATAATGGGGAAAAAATCATATGCTGGTTGAGCATGCTCAATATCTTTCATCAGCTCGAGAGATTTTCTCTGATATTAAAACATTTAATTAAAACTTATTCCATTTCAGAAATATCACGATTATTATTGCACATGCTTAGACACAATCTATTAGCCTTCCTATTTCAGCAAACGTAAATAATTAAGCCAGACTCCCCCCGACTCTCTCTCTCTCTCTCTCTCTCTCTCTCTCTCTCTTCTGTTCTTTTCTAAACTAAGGGAATGGGAGGGGCGCAGAAATCCTCAGAGTGTATAAGAAGTGCGGTTCTCACAAGCAGGGATTTTACACAGCAACTCAGGACGAACGAAATGAGCTGCCCCAGAGCCGCTACAAAATGCTGGATGGACACCTTCTCCTGGGATGGTTATCATTTACCATTATAGTGCATCTAATCAGCTTGCCTGGACCGAGCACAGCTTACTTCGGGTAGGCAGAGGAACTCTTCCTCACTCTTTAAATGCTTTTTAAGCTTCAAGTTTGTAATGCATAGACTAAAGATAGATATGAAATTAAGAATCAAAGATCATAAAATAGACAACACGATCTAGGAAACGTTATGTAAACTTCGCTTTCCATAACAACCTGTGGAGTTGCGATTCAGTGTGACTGATGTTCTCATTATAGCAACATGTTTGCACGAAGTCTCTGGTTAATAACTTGTTTGCAAGTTCAGTAAATATGCCCTTATTTACCAGTTCATTAAACAGTGCATATCGGGACATTCATTCAATTGCGTGTTTTGAATGGCAGGTAGCCGGTCAGGTTTGCCTTGCTCGTAGAAGAAAGAAAACAGACACGAGCAGTTTTCAACAGCTGTTAACAATAAAAGCTCCTAAGATCTCTAACCTGGTGGCCAAAACGTCTGTTCAGATCGCAGATAATATTTCTTCATCCAGCATAAACACTCATTTTGGCACCCCCATTGCTTGCTCACAGGAGTTTAATAAGCGCAAGTTCAAGAATGTGTGTTGAATTTACAGTTTCCCCAGTTTCCCCTATAAACATTCCCCTAGCATAATTTTAATTGAGGTAATTGTGATACCGCGGGAACGCCTTTGGAATATGTTCCTCTATGACGCGTGCTGCTTATTGATATTTTCTTCCATTACGCGCCTTCATGTTTCGAGAAACATGTGTTTAACTCGTCTTTAAATCATTGTCATTTGTATCAACAAGTTTGAAACCAAGTTTGGAGGGTAAAAGTAGATAGGTTGACTGGTATGAAAGTCTTTTACATACAGACACAGAAGTGTTATAATGACAATTCTGATCTAAATGACTACATGCAATCCGAAAGTAATCCACGGACAGGTGTGGGTTACAGAGTTCTATCCCAGAGTTTGTAGTGATGTACAAGATAGAAAAGTTTCACCTTCAACAACTGTTCAGAAGTTCATGCCACTGTTTCATTATTTCTCTTGGCTCTACAGTGATGGAAGATTCTATGTAAAAAGGTGTGCTAAGGAGAGGATATTGTTAGGGCAAATCAAGGGCCAGGGTGGGAGTGGCTCCCTCAGGCCCCATTGAACATTATGAAGCAGTAAACCGGTTTGTTGGGCTGCAGAGGTTGTAGACTGGGTCTAAGCCTATTCTACCCCCTCTTAGGAAGTCAATAAATTTAATAAATGCTGGCCTGTGTTAGCATGGGTGGGACAGTACTTCATATAAAGATTTATAGTCTCCATTATTTGATCTGAAAGATTGTTATCAATTGGAGTTAGCCTCTTAAGAATATTTTCCCCTTGTTTTTTTGGCACATTTAATGGAAAACGATAAACTACAATGTGTGATAATGAGCAGATATGCAGTGTCAAGTGGCTATGTCTAATAAATGTCTGGATATTTTTAACATTCAATTTGTCATGCGTATGTGAGGCTAACTAGCCATTGTTTAGAAGTACTCAAACTTTGCCAGTTTCAGCACTTTGTCTACTTTGACGGAAACCGCTTGTACTTCCATGTTACCGGGTCATGAAAACAAACTATATGGAACTCATTAGTGATATATTTCACTGTGGCATTATGGGTGTTCTTTCTTATCTCACACAATGAGTGTTAATTTTGAACGCTGATATGGGTAAGACTTTTTGTTGAACTCTACAGTCAAGGGGCTACTTTTCAAGACAAGGACACAATCACAAATCAAACAAGTCATTTCAACCTTGTGCAAGCAACAGCATGAAACTATTACCTTCTGACATGTTGTCACACTTGCTTCCACTAACGTGCAAATAAATACCTTCCATGAGGCGAATGCATCTTCTGGCCACTGATTTACTTAAATAGAGGGTCAATGTTGCATACCCAATTTCCCCAGTGCGGTGGAGCGTATGTGAAACCTAAACACAGTCTCTGTTAGACCTCAGTCTGTGTCTCTGAGGGTTGGGTGGGATTCCTTGCCTAGCTGAGCCGCTGCTGAAATTGTCATCCTGGCCACAAGAATGCAAAGCCTTAGTTTTTACCACCCGTCCCCTCCAGTCTGTAGCGGCAGGTGCTCAACAGCAGTCTCAGGGAGACCAGGTTCGGTTGGTTGGGGACAAAATGGTGGTAGAACAATACAGCAATATGGAGGCTGCACACTTTTTGTTTAGGTGTAGAGCTCACCTCAAACAGCCTGAGGGACGAAAGGGGAAGAGGTTACATGCTGGGAAGACATGGGGAAAATAAGCCCTGAATATCCATGGAATGAGATTCTTTTGTACCTGGCTTTGACAAGTTTATGCAGATCTCCTGAGGAAGCCAGCCTGGGGTCACTGGGGGGACTGCTGTCCTAAAAGTAAGCCTGAATTGAAATGAGGGTAAATATTTAAGACTTCTATGTGAGATTGCCACCTAAATTATAATTCTAGAGATGTAAAGTACGATGTGCTTATGTTTGAAAATCCCAAAACTCAACAATAAGTTATGATGGATGTCTTGTTATTTACAAGGAAGACTGGTGAAATGCACTTGACAAGGAACTATTCAATTGAAAACCTTTATCAGTTCATAAGGGTAAAGTGTCAGACACTTTCCTTTAGCAACTTCTTTAACATCAGCTGTTACTCACATGTTTCAAAATCCTGTGTTGAAGACGTTGACTGCAACAACATGCATGCGTATGTGCATTATTATAACCCTGTGATAAAGGCTCAACCAGTTTTGGTTCGGGTGTAGTTCTGTCCCCTAGAACCCAGTCAGAACAGGCCCAAGGCTTCCACAGTATTTCTATAGGAAGTACTGTGCTTCTATCCCTCAGACTCTGTAATTCATCTGTCATTTATTCTGATTTAGTTGTACTAAATAACGAGTCATGTTTTGTCACAACCTGTCCATCATTAGGTGCAGCAGTACTTACAGTGCCTGATGTTTCCACCAGGGGGTGGAGTCCCTTCTGTAAAAGCGTCCTGCTCTTCAATCATCATCTGCTTCTTTATGAAACCTTAGCACAGTGGGAAATGAGTGGCAAAAACAGATATAAGCGCAGAGAGCTGTGTGACCAGGATACAGGGAGAAGGTCAACAGAGCAGCAGTTTTATTCAAAGGTAGTTGTGGTCAGTTTGATCTGTTGGCGATGGCATTTTTTGGCCGCGACTCTCAGGAAAGCCCCAGTTTGCTGCATAAAACTTCAGATTAAATCTCCCGACTAGACTTGGGCTTGGGAATGTTGATGAGACCGGCTGCCTGAGCTGCGGTGGATCACCTTTCAGTGCCAGAGAATAGCAGTGACTGCAACTGAAGATCCTCACATGCGACCACTTCCTATACACACCCATAGACATTTTATTGAATCATATGCATGTTTTCTTTACATAAAACTTAAAATGTGTTTCACTTAAAATGTGTTTCACTTTTCTAAAGGTAAAACTCCACCGAAGTGTGTATCATTGCTGGACAGCTTAACATACACTCTTAAAAATAAAGGTGCTTCAAAAGGTTCTTCAAGCGATGCCATAGAAGAACCATTTTTGGTTCCACAAAGAACCATTCAGTCAAAGGTTCTTTAAAGAACCATCTCTTTCTTACCTTTTTGTAATCTGAAGAACCTTCTTTCACCACAAAGAACCTTTTGTGAAACAGAAAGGTTCTTCAGATGTTAAAGGTTCTTTATGGAACCATTTAGACAAAAAGGTTCTTCTATGGCACCTTTATTTTTAAGAGTGTAGTGTAATGTTTCTACTATAAACACACTTAAGATTATGAACATTTAAGATTATGAACATTTCTTTGTCTTTCATGACATTTCAAGTAACCACTTGAAAAACATAAATCCATGTCTCTATATTTCTACCGGTTTGTTTTTCCTCAATGGCTTTCTCGACAAGCTGTGAGAATGGCTTCTCCCGCAGGAGTCATCCCAACCCTGCCTTGATTATATGGTATTATTGCTCTGGGGAATGTCTTTAAATGTGTTTGGCACACTTGCATCCAAATGGCTCAATATTCTGGTAGTACGGCTCCGACCACAGTTTGGAGGTCTGCCTTGATTTTTTAAGAGAGGGCGGGTCCGCTCCTGCCTAACCCAGTCAGTGGTGTGTTTTGTAGATATGTAGGCTGTTGTTGGGAATGCAGTGATGGGCATCATCAGACAGGAGCAAATAGCCAGGCAAAACCGGAAAGCCAATATGGAATCTGAATAGCTTTTGGTGGTCAAGGATTGATGAAATTACGTTAATTAGTGGCACTACCATGTCATGTGTTTTCCGTCTCTCACCACAGGCTGTTTTCCACCACAAAGGGCTTTGGATGGACTCTGGGCCAAAATGATCAGTGACTACAGCCAAGATTAGATGACTGAAAAACCATAAGATGACTGTAAAAACCCTGAGCTATGAACCATACATGCACATTTATTACATGGACTGGGTGTTGATGTCAAAACAGTAGGCAAGACAAACCAAGAATGTACCTTGAGTTCATGCCTTTTCCGTTTCATTGCTTCAAACTAGGAGTTTTTAATTAAAGCTGCTTTTCTTTTCTTTTCATTTTGACTGTTACCGCTGCGCTGCCTGTGTAACGTGAACAAACAAACAAAAACCACAGAGTCTCAATAGATGGTTTTGGCGAGGGTAGGTTATGCGCATGAATCAGTCTTCAGACTTCAGACTTTAAGACTGAACTTGGGAACAATAAACTGCTAAATTATTTGGTAGCAAATTTATGATTTGAATAAATATATAATAGATGCTTTTGGCTATGGTAACCACAAATTCAGGCACTTCAACTGGTTCCTCTAGGCATCAGTAGTAGCACTTGTACACTTAGATTTCACGAGTGTCTCTAATATGCAGAAAAAGCTATATCATTTCTGTCAGCAGCAAATATAAATAACCAACTAATATAGCTTGAATTTTAAGATTAATTGGTTCTGTAAAAGGCATTTTGGTCTTTGGTTCCTCAAGGCACCAGCTTTAGTACTTGTAGCTGTAGTATAAGGTACACTTAGG